AATGTTTCGCAGTGGCCGTCTTCCGACGGTCCAAGAATTTCACCTCTAGCGTCGGAATACGAATGCCCCCGTCTGCTCCTATTAATCATCACCTCGGTCTCCGTCTGTCCCCGAGGACCTAGATCCGAAGTCATGTTCCATCGTACCGTGCATTACTATTCGAGCCTGGGTGAGCCCGCTTGAAGCACTCTAATTTTTGCAAAGCGATAACCGCCGACCACCGAGGGCCGACCGGTGAAAACCGACCCCCGAGTGGCGAGCAGAATGCCGGGTGCGCATGGCGGACCGCGCGAGCGGCCCCCTACGTCCAGAGCAGACATCCAACTACGAGCTTTTTAACTGCAACAATTTTAGTATACGCCACTGGAGCTAAAATTACCGCAGCGGCTGGCATTAGTCTTGCCCTCCAGTAGGTCCTCGTTAGAGGGTTTAGAGCGTACTCATTCCGACGACTGGGTCTCGTAGAGTCCAGCGTCGTTATTTTTCGTCACTACCTCCCCGAGCCGGGATTGGGTAATTTGCGTGCCTGCTGCCTTCCTTAGATGTGGTAGCCGTTTCTCAGGCTCCCTCTCCGGAATCGAACCCTGATTCCCCGTCACCCGTGGCGACCACGGTAGGCGCATCACCTACCGTCGACAGTTGATAAGGCAGACACTTGAAGGATGCGTCGCCGGGTCGAGCCCGTGCGATCGGCCAAGTTACTCAGCTTCGCTCACGTCCTCGGCCATCGCTGGCCTGGGAAGAATCTAATAAAAGCGCTCGTCTCGCACCCGGAGGGCGGTCGGAGCTCGGCTGCATGTATTAGCTCTAGAATTGCCACAGTTATCCAAGTAACGCGTCACGATCCAATGAACCGTGACTGATTTAATGAGCCATTTGCGGTTTCGCCTTATACTTTCGCGGCATGTACTGAGACGTGCATGGCTTAATCTTTGAGACAAGCATATGCTACTGGCAGGATCAACCAGGTATCCATCCGTCACTCTCGCACTCCCCTCGAGGGGGTGCCCTTCTCTCTCTTCCTTCCTCTCTCTATATATTAAGACCGGGCTCCTCTGGCCTTTGTGTCTCGCCACTCCGAAGAGGGTCCTTTCTCGTCACTCGTCTGCCGCTTCCGGAAAAGAAGAAGCGGTGGCCCCACTGACGAAGGTGCATAAATAGGCGCGAGACGGAACCCTCCGGAAAGGGCAGTCTCGCGGAGTGCCTAAATGGGTGGTATCCCGCCGAGCGGGAGGACTCTCGTCGGCCGTCCGTCCCAGCCGGAGACGGACGGCCTAGTGCGGTGAAGCACGATGCATAAATTACGCTCCACGGGACCCTCCGAGGAGGGCAGTGTCGCGTGGGCCGAAATGGGTGATATCCCGCCGAGCGGGAGGACCTCTGGAGCCGTCACGGACGACGACGTGAATTGCTTCACGTAGCGGGGTAAGGTGGGACGGGTGCGACCCGCCCGGCCCGGACCGACCCCACGCGGTCCATTCCGTCCTTCGATCCAATGCGACATTCGATCGGGGACGAGGTAGCCGTCTCGAGCAGAAGACGACGGACCCACGAGAGCGATCGCGGGCCGAGGGAGGGCACAGCCGCCAGTACAACGCTTGAACGAGCGAACGAGCCTACGATGTAGTGCATTGCATCGTCTCAAACGAGTCTCCCCTATATAGGGCAAAACGGTTTCCAGACAAAAAGGAGCACCTCTTCCTCCTCCGACCGGGACGGCACGGCGCAAGCGGGACACTCCGTCGACCCAATCTTTGTAGTGGACCGCGTTCCGGTGGACTAACGTAGTACACCGGAACTGAAGTATACCGGAACGAGACACGATCGGCAGGGGTGCCGCACTCACACCCCGGGGAGTCGGTGCGCCGGAACGAAAGTACACCGGAACGAGATCCACTCGGCAGGGGTCCCGCACGCGCAACCGATTAGTACACCGGAACGACCGGAACGCCGGAAAAGGGCCGCTCCGGAGGGTTGCCGGTTTCTCCTCCATTTTGAAACTGCCATCCCCTTCTCACCGTCCCACCGGGACCCACGAGAACCACACCGTCGGAAAGATCTTTCGATTCGCCGCCGCGCGGTATATTTTTTTTCTCGAAATAACCCATTTTTCCATTTTTCCCGATTTTTTCAAAAACACTCGAAATCGACCCGATTTTCGATAGACCGTTTCCGAATCGTTCCGAACACTCCGCATTTCCGACGACGGAATCCGTAGGGGGTCCCCCGAACGGAGCGTGCTCTTCTCACTTAAAATCGCTCCTTTAAAACGAAAATCGGCCGAAACTTTTTTTTTCACGATTTTTCAAAAAACACTCCAAATTTCCGTTCAACATTGAATAACTCCGTCGTTTATCGAAATAATCTCGCCAAACTTTTTCTCCGTGCGTGGGACCACGTCGTCCGTACACCGTACGAAGATTGAAAACTTCGATCGGAATTTGAATTTTTTAAAAATTTTTTCGTGTTTTGCGTTTTTTCGCCCCTAACTCGCGAACCGGTCGGGCCGGCTCCCGAAACGGGACATATTCCGAAAGATCTCGTCGAGTGCTTTAAGAATATGTATCGTTTCGGGTCCCTGTCTCGAAGGGGGCCCCGTGGGATCGGGGCGACCGCAAAACACGATTTTTCCGAATTAAAAAATGATTTACGGTCTGATCTTTATAAATGACCACTCGTAATGTGCGAAATCGAGAGAGGAGCTTTCTTTCGATCAAAGAGTTTTCTAAATAACTTAAAACACGAGGATTATTCCAAATAAAGTGTTTCGAAAGTGGGGACTTAGAAAAAATTCGACTCCTTTTTACGGCATTTTGGATCGTCGATAATTAAAGAACGGAAAGGGCCACATTCGGAACCTTTACGATTCGGAAAGGTCTCGTCAGTAGATCACGAAAACTCATATTTTTCGGGCCCTGCGAAGGGGACCCGTGGACCGGGGGGCCGCTTTTATGCAGGATCCCGTATTTGCGGGAATTTCCACGCACGAAAATTATATCACAGGTGCGTCCCGTCCAGAACACCCGTAGGAGTTCCGAAGCTCTGGGTGCAAGGGGCCCCTCCAGGGGCCAGGCGTTTTTCCTCCACGATTTTGGGATCCCCGACTCACTCGCTATGGGGGGCCACCCTCACCGAAAAGCACATATTCGGGAAAGGTCTCGTCGAGTACTGAAATATATATTCGTTGGGCCTCTCCAGAAGGGGGCCCGCGGCCCGTAGGGGGTCAAAAATGAGTTTTTCCCGAATTGAAAAAGAACGGCTCGACCGATTTTCGAAAAACAGAACTCGTCGTGCGAAACGACGAGATCTTTCTTTCTTCGAGTTTTTGAAAATCGGTGCGCACCGGAACGAAGTTGTGAAAACATGTGTTTCAGTAGGCCACTCCCGGAACCTTCAAAAATTCATAAAAAATAACACCTGTATTTTTCTAAAACTATACGTACTTTTGCGGGGAATCGAGTTCTACCTTTTGGTGGGACATTTTGGAGGAACAGTGTGTTCTTTCAAAAAGTTATTCGAGAAAAATGAGCTTTCGGGAAAAATTTTTCCCGTTTTCCCGAATAAAAAAATAATTTACGGTCGGATTTTTATAAATGACCACTCATAGCGATGCGCAATCAGGGCTTTCATTTTCTTCAAGAGTTTTCACAAATAACTTAATATAAAGAGGGGTTATTCCAAATAAAGTGTTTCCAAAGTGGGGACTTTGACAAAATTTCGCCTCCTTCATTGCCGCATTTTGGATCGTCGATAATGAAGAACGGAAAGGGCCAGACTCAGACCCTTTGCAGATTCTGAAAGGTCTCGTCGAGTCGATCACGAAAATATATTCGTTTGGGCCCCTCACTCAGGGGCCCGCGGCCAAAGGGGCCAAAACTAGGTTTTTTCCCGAATAAAAAGAACGGCTCGACGGAATTTCGAAATATGACTCTTTACCTGCGGAACGACGAGATCTTTCTTTTTCTTTAGAGTTTTCGAAAATCGGTTCTAGGGGCAAAAGTTATGAGAAAAATATGATTCCGAAGGCCGCACTTCGGAACGTTCGAAAATTCATAAAAAATAAATTACCGGTCTGTTACCCAAACACTATATACGTACTTTTGCGAGGAATCGAGAGATCTACCTTTTGGTGGGACATTTTGGAGAAGGGATCGTTCTTTCAAAATTTATTAGAGGAAAATGAGCTTTTCAGGAAAAAAATTTTCCGTTTTCCCGGAATAAAAAAATAATGTACGGTCGGATTTTATAAATGACCGCACTCATAACGTGCGCAATCGAAAAGGGCTTTCATTTTCTTCAAAAGAGTTTCTAAACCAACTTAATATAAAGGAGTTATTCCAAATAAAGTGTTTTCCAAAGTGGGGACTTTGACAAAATTTCGCCTCCCCTCATTGCGCATTTTAGGATCGTCCATAATTAAAAGAACGGAAAGGGCCACGTTCTAAAACTTTGCAGATTCTGAAGGTCTCGTCGAGGTAGATCAGAAAATATATATTCGTTTGGGCCCCTCCTCCAGGGGCCGCGGCCATCGGGGGCCAAAACTAGGTTTTCAGATAAGAACGGCTCGGTGGATTTTCAAGAAATGAGCTCTTTACCTGCCCGGAACGACGAGATCTTTCTTTTCTTTAGAGTTTTCGAAAATCGGTTACCGGAACGAAAGTTATCGAGAAACATGTGTTTCGGTAGGCCGCACTTCGGAACGTTCGAAAATTCATAAAAATAAATTACCTGTATTTTTTTCTAAAAACTATATGTACTTTTGCGAGGAATCGAGAGATCTACCTTTCGGTGGGACATTTTTAGGAGGAACAGTGTGTTCTTTCAAAGTTATTCGAAAAATGAGCTTTTCCGGGAAAAATTTTCCCGTTTTCCCGAATAAAAAATAATTTACGGTCGGATTTTTACAAATGACCACTCATAATGTGCGGAATCGAAAGGGCTTTCATTTTCTTCAAAGAGTTTCTAAATAAGTTAATAAACACGAGTTATTCCAATAAGTGTTTTCCAAAGTGGGGACTTTGACAAAATTTCGCCTCCTCGTACGCATTTTGGATCGTCGATAATTAAAAGAACGGAAAGGGCCACGCTCTAAAATTTACAGATTCGGAAGGTCTCGTCGAGTAGATCAGAAAATATATTCGTTTGGGCCCCTCCTCCAGGGGCCCGCGACCAAGGGGGCCAAAACTAGGTTTTCGAATAAAAAGAACGGCTCGACGGATTTTCAAGAAATATGACTCTTTACGTGCGGAAGAAGACCTTTCCGGTTTTAAAGATTTCCGTAAATAGTTGTCGGAACCGAAAGTTATTCAAAAGAAATACTGTATTTTCAAAACGGTTCGCGAGGTCAGGAGATCTACCTTCGGTGGACTTTTTGGGGAGTTTCCAGTTATCAAAATGATTTCCGGGAAATTTTCCTTTTAGATAAAAAATTACCGTCGGATTTTCGAAGCCCCTTGGCGGAATCAAGAGGGCTTTCATTTTCTTAAGAGTTCTAAAAGTTAAAACGAGAGTTATTCCAATAATTTTAAAGTGGGGACTTTGACAAATTTCGACCTCCTCATGCGCATTTTGGATCGCCCATAATTAAAAGACGGAAGGCAGCTCAACTTTGCAGATTCGAAAGGTCTCGTCGAGTAGTCGAAAATATATTCGTTTGGGCCCTCCTCCAGGGGGCCCGCGGCTCGAGGGGCCAAAACCTGGTTTTTCCCGAATAAAAAAGAACGGCTCGACGGATTTTCAAAAGTAGGACTCTTCGGTGCGGAACGACGAGATCTTTCTTTTCTTTAGAGTTTTCGAAAATCGGTGCATGAACGAAAGTTATCGAGAAAAAAATATGTTCGAAGCCGCACTTCCGGAACGTTCGAAAATTCATAAAAAATAAATTACCTGTATTTTTCTAAAACTATATGTACTTTTGCGAGGAATCGAGATCTACCTTTCGGTGGGACATTTTGGAGGAACGGTGTGTTC